ATGCGATCGTGATCCGCCACCTCATCGCTATCGGATGGAGGAAACCAATGGCGGATGCAGTACTCGATCAAGTAGGCAAGGAGGATGTAGACAACGGTCAGCACACACAGCACAATTAGATACTTGAGAATGAGGATTGGAAAGATGGAACGTTCGACGACCGCACTGCAGAGGGGAAGCTGAAATGGAGAACTTGAAAGGAAATTCCTAGAAGAAATTTGCAAAAGGACTATTAAGCCTAAGCAAGTCTGAGGCTAAATGCGGCACGTAAGACGATCCTTTCAAAAAAATCCTGTCCGAAATACTATTCCTCTAAATTCCAAAAAAAGAACATGTGTTTCGTAGCATTCTGATTTGAAAAAAGTTGGCATATGTTTGAAACTACTGAAGTTTTTGAAAGATAGCAGGTCTACTTCAACTCTATGCTGAAAAAGCAAACCTACCGATTCTCTTGGAATAATCGAGCAAACAAGCTCATTCATGAAGGTGTTTGTAGAGATAAGACGAGAAGCAGCTTGTAGTGAAGGTTCTAGATAAGTAGTGATGTTCATTGCGATCATCAAACGAGCGCCGAGCAGAAATGGGAGCGATAGAAATGCGACCATGTCCACGATGCGCACCTGAAACGGTTTATCTCCCATGAAAGAAGCCTTGACGATAGCCGTTGACTTACCACCGCTGTTGTGATTTTGCTCATTTGATGCCAGTATGTATTGTAGAAGAATATGATGATTGCACTAGTTGATAATGACGCACACATAGCCCCTACTGTCATCCATAAATTTTTCTTGTACTGAAAAAAAGTACAAAGTACGAGTAAAGGTTTTCATTGGAGACAACTAGTCTGAATACGAGATGTAAGAATTGCCCTAAATGTTTATGTACTCGACAATGGCGCAGATTGGCAAATGAAATTTAAAAATTCGATTAGAAAAGACTTCCCCTAATCAACTTAAATGGTATTTATTGTAGATAATTTAAAAGTTAATAATAGCTTTCATGCCAATTTCCTCTGTTCTTAAAGGGCATTCACAGCTATTGCCTTTATGGTCGCAATAAGTTACTTCTTACTCTTACTGGGAGAAGGAGTCGATCACACCTAACTAAAGTCTTACATCTTTGTAGAAGTGAAAGCGTTAATTGCGCTTGACCGATCAAAATTCAGGTAGCCACTCTTTGCTTCTTTCGCAATAAATGAACACGCTTTGTCATCGCAACAATAACAATAGAAAGAATGACTTTCAAAATCATTTCAGGAGTCCTTAAAAAATTATTCCTGGATCAAAAAAAGGGAATTTTCTGACTTTTGCTGTCCGCAAACCGAATTTTTGATTTTATCTTTGTCAGCAATTCCTTGTCGCTTGGAAATAGGCAACAAAGCACGCGAAAAGATGCACTTGCGTCAACTATTTGCCAAAGAGCCCATAATCCCAAATTCGAATAATTAAGGGAGATACACACATAAAACCTAATCAGACTTTAGAAGATGCTTCTGGTCATACAAGCTATTAAATTCTCATCCTTTCCAAGATATGTCTTTATTGATTTTATATTCGGAATATAGTTTAACAATCGACCTTCTCAATCTGTTCTCGTCAGCCATTATATTCAAATCTTTGCTAAGAGTGTAACTCACATCTACAAATGCTATCATGACGAATCGTACAAGGTTGATGTCGTTTCGATTTGCAATTTCTGGTGATGCCCGGTATTCCACCTTAAGAAGAATACTCATTAATGACAGCTGAAGCGATAATGGGTAGAGTGAGCAGTAGACCACGTACCTCGTTAGCAAGAGACTCGTATGCCCGGAATGTTGTTAGGAACTCTCTGGTATAAGCAAGATGTAATGCAGCAATAACAAATAGAACGAACATCTTTAGATGGTGAGGGTAGAACTGTCCCACCTAAAAGATAAGTAGGTGATTACAATGTTAAAGCCTATTTAAGGCACACTTCATATTGCTGTTGAACGCCTTTTTTCAGTAAGTCTTTTGTAAACCCCAGAATAGCTGAATAAAACTATGATGGTCAGGCTCCAAACAACTTCATATGCGAGATAAAAAGTAAATTTCAATCAAAGAACGAGTTGATAGTGGTGAGATAAACCTATTTACATTCGCGGCAGTCGATGCAAAACTTCAATTAGTAGATCTTGTAAGCCCATATGTCAAAATATTAATCTGTCTATACAACTGAGAGTGTGAAATCAATCTCTGGAGCTATTGCTCATACCCGACCAAAAGAGGAGCGCAGGTGTTGCTACAGTAGATGGAGGCAGTGACCTACAATGACTCAAGATAGTGATGACAAGAACACTGTTTATTGCTTTGTTGACATATGACCAAACTGGTAATTCAGAATTCGCAATGATTAATTATAAGTTACATCTCAGTTACGATTATGCAGCAAAAATGCTCGCAAAAAAATTTTATTCTTGTGCCTGAAATTTGGCTTCGATTTTCGTCACTTAGAGGAGAGGTAAAGAATTTTAGAGAAATGTTAGCCTTCCGCATGTTCCTACTATTTATTCTTATTACACTGTAATATCACATGTTCATTCCCAAAATGCAAGTGCTTGGAAAATACATGTAGCGAAAAAGGTCGTTGGAGCTTTTTTAGAGAGTCTACAAAGTAATTATTGAAATAAGTTTGCTGATGCTGATTAAAATCAAGAGAAGGACTCACAAGAAAACGAGCTGCACGTTTTAGTGAGCACTTCCATGACTCTGAGCTGCTAGGGATCTGCTCATTCTCATCAGATTCGAAGAGCGATTCCTTGGTTCGAGCTGCTTCGATCAGAGCTGCCGAGATTGATGGCATAGGAACTAAATGACGTAATTGTGTCACGAGCGATATCAAGATGCGATTTAACAGACAGGACGGTGGGCAAC